ACAATTCCAGATTCTGCACGTTCAGCTCATGTTTGTTTTCCACTGTTTATGTTAGTTTTGCGGTTGCTTTTTAATCTGCTAAAGAAATCACAATCTCTGCATACTTGTCTACAGGAGGTTTCTCTTTGTGTCTTGGCAAACCTTGAGCACTCCAGCTTGAAGAAGAACTGGTTGAGTCTGAAGGGAGACTTTGTGCTGCGTAAAAAAAACAACCCTATCATGCCATCACAAAAATGTTCATCTTGATTGTAAAATGCTAATCCTCAGAAAGTCGACATGGTTTCATTCTTATTTTGTCTGACTGGAGTCAGCAAACCCAAACACACTAAATTTACAAGGTTATAAAGCTAACAGAAAACAAATAACCCTTGTCTTTGCTTTTGCCATTGGGGTTTATTGTTTTAGTTGTGTGTGGTGCTGGCCTAACCCCAATGCTCCTGGATAACCCTGGACTTGTGCAACCAGTCTGTGCTTGTTTGATACACAGAGCCTGAGCTATGCAGGGTATGTAGTTGGAGAATTTAGAGGTGTTAAAACCTCCTTTGTGAAATATAACAAGCCACACTATATTCTGAATCTGCAAGAAAATTTAGAGTCCCTTCAGAGAGGCATTTTTCTGTTCTTACTGAGATTTAGAGAACTGGGAGCAGAAATGAGACAATAATCATTATGACTGCAAACAGCAAGAACGGCAATGAACAAAGGCCTGCACACAGTGGCATTAAAATACATAAACACTTAACTCAGGAAAGCAATGCATTCATTGTTCTAAAAGAAGGGTTTTCTTTTACAGCTGTGTTGTAAGAGAAAAGAGAAATGTGGAATAGCACAGTGTTTCTGCCATTGAAGTGGCTACATTTTAATAATATTTGAAGATTATCATCTCACCAGAGTAATTATTGAGATAATATCATGCAGGGAGATTGTGCTAGCCCAGGTAATCATACTGTGAAATTTCCATGTTGACACATGCCTAATTTGAGGGCAGATCTCATTTATGCCTCAGCCGTTATTTTTTATCTGTGCAATTGAAACCCTAATTACCTGTTCTGCTCTCTGACATAAAGGACTTAAAACAAGTTATCCATCACATCCTGCTATAATTGAAGTGAATCATTTTTGGCAGAGTTTGCAGATGTTTTGTGGCACAGTGATGTTAAGGTATTTGTAGAAGTAAAATGATCCTGTAGATTATCTTTCAACTTTTTGCCTTCCGTATACAAAAACATCTTTGTCAAATAAATGGTCAGAAACATGGCTATATAAACCTTTATTTCCACTCCACTGCAAGGTGCTGCATGAATCTGCTTGGCAGTTTCCATTGAAGATGATATACCATTGGTGTCGGCAGGATTTACATTTTTTTAGCCATTCGTCATAGTTATGCCTTCCACACTGTGGTGACTTCTGCTGGACACTTCCATTGGAAACCAGCTTGAGGAATATCTGCACTTTATGGTTTGCTTTTGTGGATTGCAATAGTTTTAAACCTTTTTTCAATGGAAACCCTAGGGCTGTGGTTGTTATTGATGTTAGCTTGACTTCTTTGAAAGGAGAAGTCCCGAGTCGTGCTAGCTGTGTTTTCCCAGACCAATCAGCTGTCAGCAGTGTTAACCTTACCTTTTAGTTTCAGCTCAGTTTACCAGGAACCTCGGTTGAGGTGTTACCTTTAAAGTACAGAGTAAGGTACTGAGATGGGATGCTCATCCTGATTTTATACGATTGTGGCATCTATAGTACTCCAGTACTATCCACAGCTTTTTCCAGTGGAAGACCAAAAGAAGATGGATCCAATTACTGCAGTAGAGATGGGTTTTACCATGCAGTGAAAATTAGGCTTTAAGTCCCATGTCAGGAAGAAACCAATTTTCCAGTTTTAGTGTAACTCTTCATTTATTTTCTTCACAAATAGTGTTACAAGAAACTATACAACTCACAACTAAAGGAATGTATTTTCATAATGACTGAAGTAATTTACCATTAAAGCTTGTTTTCTGTTTGGATTGTCAGTGAGTTAAGTCTCCTGTCTTGCACTGAAATAAAACAACCAGTCACTGTTTCACTTTGACGATGTTTTTGTCATAAGAAAGAAAAATAATATTTGTTCTTTTAGTTTTATTGAGAAGTGAACCTTACGCCAGCTCTGATTTAGTTTTGTTCCCTTGCAATTCGACCTGAAATTGCCTCCCCTTGTCTGCTCCTGCACTTTCATTCCTGCTTATGTGGCCCCTGTGATAGATTGCTGAATGAAACTGGATCTGTGAAAAAAGGACAAGCACTCTGGGAGTTGCGCAGCCTGCATGCCTTTCGCTCAACGGGGCACTCGCTGGGACATTTCCTCAGTGGGGCTTTTTCAAAAGGGCTTGCACTGCAAGTTCCAGCTAAGGGCAGTACAGTAGGTCAACCGGCGATAGAATTGCAACCCATTCTTTTGTGGAGGTGTTGGACAAATTAGACCTCACAACTGTTTACCTAGTCAAACAGGGACAGCTGCATCTCTCCACCCTCCAAACCTGCCACTGACTGTTGTTCCTTTGGGGAGCCATCTGTGTGAAATAAGCAGGCTCGGTGATCAAATGATTGTTCAACAGCTTTACCGCCGTCACTGCTGGGGGTGATATGAATGGCCCCTTAACTGAATCAACAGGAGCTCTGTGCACGATGTGATCCAGCTGCCATTTTGGACTGTTGTCCTAATGAGCGCTGAGTAATGATACGAGGTGCACACGGTGACTGCTTCTCTGTATTCTAGATAAGGCCTTATTGTGATGCAGCATTATAACTCAAGTTGTAGAAGCATTCTTTAGATATTTATACAGCACATTCAGAACTTGCGCCCAACAGGTTTTTACTACAGGGATCAGCACGTGGCCTCTTGCCCATTGACGTCAGCTCTGTGTGTGTTGTAAACAAACCAACTAGTCAACTGTTTGCAAGGCTGACGTAAAGTCTCATGCTCAACAGAAACACCCACAATTTGTTAGGAAAACACCCTCTGTTAAACATTATAAAAGACATGGGGAGCAACTTAAATGCAGTTTGCTTTTGGATTCTAGTCATTTTAGCATATTGATTTAAACCTTCTTCTTTTCTTTTTTTTTTCTTTTTTTTACAGTTTAATTAAACAAATACATCAAACAGGAAATTATGATCAGTTGAAAATGCGCTTGCCTTAAATTTCCTAAATTCATTAAGAAAAAATGCTGGTGAGGCGGCAATAGCCTAGCGGTTATGTTGCCGATGGGCTCACCATGTATGGAGTCTTTAGTCCTCTTTGCAGCGGCTTTGGGTTCGAATCCGACCTCGGCCCTTTTGCTGCATGTCCTCCCCCGTTCTCTCCTCCCATCATTTCTTGTCTCTCTTCAGCTGTCCTATGTCATAAAAGCAAAAAAAATAAACGCTATCCTCACCAGAAAAGACTTCAGATAGCATCTTGAAAGTTATCTCACTTCTAAGGCAGCATAAAAGAAAACACACAATGGCGACTAATCAGAATAATTAAGCTATGCTCGCAATTTAAAAAAATCTCTGTCTGGCCCCACTGTGTTTTGTTTGTTGTTTGTGAGTCTCTGCAACACAAAGACAATCATCTGAATTCTTGTGTGTTTGAGGCGGTATTGATCTCATCACCCTAACCACCACGACAGATTCATTGTGCTCAGGCTTCCTCCTCCTTCGCAATGTACATCACAAGAGGACAACACGGGTGTTAATTATTTACCAACATGGAGAGAGCTCTCAGGGGACTATAAGCCAAGATTCTAGGACATACTTGTGCATCCTCATATTAGTAGTGTTCGTACCAATCACATTGTTTAGTGGATTGATTTATTGCCTTTGTAACCATGTCAATCCTTGATTCTTCTAGTAAAGTGGAATAAAATTAAATGAAATCTTTATATAAATCATGTCAGTACACAAAGATATTTAAAATATACAATTGTATCTCTTACAAATATGGCGTGTTCTTGATCTTCATCCTTGCAAGAATCCACAAAAAAGATTTGACCTTAACAACATCAACTCACTGCTAGCTGTGTTGTTTAAAATAGACAACGTAATTTGCCGTTGCTGAAGGCGAGGACTGAAGAGAAGAAATGATACTGATGCAGCTGCCAAGGCGAACTGTGTTTATGAAGCATGAGTTATTCTCAAGGGAATCTCTGTGCTTTACATTTCAACTCCTCATAATAATTTCAGAGCAGCCTTGAACTCAAAACATTTACGTGATGTTTAAGAGACGCTATCTCTTGAAAAACAAACCATAAACAAGCCGATGCTCATGTTTTTCTGTTTCTCTCTGCAACCAATTCTGACAATAAGATTTATAGTCATTTATTAAAAAAGAAGAGATGCTAATCTGAGAGCATAACTCGGTCTAAAGTGTGAAATGAATTGAGTGACCCTGATTTAATTTTAAGTTTTATTTTGAAGAAATTGTCCTGGATTTAATTTGCTCAAAGATATGAAACACGGTGACCTTTTAAGCTGTACTGTGTAAGCAAATACAACCAAGTGGTGTTCTCCTGAGGCAAACACTGGGTCATTCATGTTTTAAAGCTGCCCTGTTAATGCAAGATTACCATTGTGTGCTTGAGTTGAAAAAGGCACGGCTCTGTTAACCGTGTGGAGGTGTATGAGGCCAGCTACTCCTTATTTATCAGCACTGACACTATCAGCAGTTGCCTCGTGAAAAGGGAGCCAGTCATTCAGAACAGTGGGGCCACCTTGGCTGTCAAAGCAGGATTTAAGCTACATTTCCCATGGTTACCATGGCTACTGTGGGAAGTGATTATGAAAGGAGTGTTTCGGAGCAGTGCTGTCACACCAGTGGGTATTACCATAGTGGTTTGCGCAGTGATCATCAGAGAATTACTGGCTCATGATCAAACGATTTTCTTGTTTGGTCCCCAGTGAAATGCTGTGTTCTGTGATGGCAGAGCAGTAGTATTTATATGTTAAAACTATTAGACTAACACAACTGGTTTTTGTCTTTCTAGGACACTATGTGGTTCAATGGGACAGGAACGAGTACACCGTGAGGATTCTCTAACCCCTGCCCCTGAGTCCCAACCGTCGGAGAGGGTGTCGGACCTCACTGAGGCAATCCTGGGCCGTTGGCACTAAAATGTCCCTAAGTGGTGGCACTGCAGGCGGGAAAGGTGTGGACTCGAATGCGGTGGACACTTACGATAGCGGGGATGAGTGGGATATCGGTGTTGGAAATCTGATTATCGACCTTGACGCTGACTTAGAGAAGGACAAACTTGAGATGTCTGGCACCAAGGACGGCATGGCGGCACCACCCAGTGCAGTGGCAGCGTTGCCTGACAACATTCGGTTTGTTAGTCCCGTGTCTGGCTCTCAAGGCAAGGAGAGCAAATCCAAATACAAGCGCAGTAAGAACTCTAAAGACAATAGTAGCAAAGCTTCAGCAGGAGATGGGGGCAAAAAAGAAAATACAGGACGGACTCAAGGGGAGCCAACAGGCACAGCAGCGGGTGCAGGAGCCGCTGGCAACAACACCACCTCTGGAAAGAACATGGAAAAAGGAGGCAAAGCCTCCAGAGGTGTTTTGGGTGGGAAAAAAGAGAAAGAAGGGGGAACTGGGAAAAGTAAGAAGGACAAAACAGAAAGCGCCCCGGTTGTGGCGATAGCTGCTGCAGAAAAGGATGTCGTGTCTCAAGCCCAAGTTGCTTTGGGAAATAGTCGTAACGCGTCCTTTGAGAACACACAATCAACAGACTTGGCAGATGCCAATCAAATGGGGAATATTGCACTTGAACCTGTTGGGATAGTACCAGCATTGACCACAAAAACTGAACCAGAGGAAGTGGAGAATGGAAATACTGAATGCAAGACATTGAAGAAGGTGAAAAACGAAAAAGTAAGTTCTTTCTTTTCTTGATGCTGTGTGAATTTGTTGGACGTTGTGTTTAATTTTGTTATATTGTCTTTGTCAAAAGGCAATTACTTATTCCATGTTATTATGGAGTCATGCCGTTGTTGGTCGGTAGGCTTAAGTAATTACAATATCTCAATGTTTAAGTAAATGTGGACAAGGTACAGTGTATTTCAAGTTGCTGAATGTATCTTTAACTACATTGTATCAAAAGGGTATGTTTTCTTGGTGTAGTGTTTTATGTGTGCGCTTACAAACCTTCATTCTGTTTAAAAAGATAAACTCTTTGCAAAGCTACCCTTTTGAGATCAAGTTGTTGAAATGCCTCCACAACATCTCAGTTATCACTTTCTTCTCCAGAAAACTGCCACAATTATTCACTGTGGAGTTGCATTTGTCTAAAATATGAATCTTTTGAATCAAATCTGGGTTTGGTGGATGTAATTATCATTGTTTGAAGTCGTACAAAAGGAACAGGCACAGTGGGGTTCTTGAAGTGGTGCTTTGTTACAGCCTGTCGCTTACAGCAGGCTCACAGATTCACTCGAGTCCCCTGAAGCTGCCTGACTCGTGATGCATAAAAAGACCTACTGCTGCTTTCTCTTTTATTACCACACGGTGAATAAGAGCACCCTCTGCGAATATGATGCTGAGATCAGCTACAGGAAAAAGCCCACACAGTAGTGTTCCCGGACAGAAGAGGGTAGATTAATTGTAAGAGGATGGCCCATATGTTGACTTCAACACTTAAAAAAAATGCTATCGCCATGTTGGAAATTGAAACCAGTCAACATGAGATGCAAATAATCATGAAGTGCTATGTACCATACATAAGCCAGTAATCCAAGTATAACAGTCAGACAGGAATATAATGGAGGCCGTCAGCCATAAACATCACGATACGCCTGTGAAGTTAAGTAAATGTCACATTGTGTTCCACTTTTTTTTAATGCACACAATTTCAACGCTGACATTATCTCTCAAGAACAATATCAAGATTTGTGTAGCTGTTCACCCACACTTGTCTTGTTCTCACATAGAGTTGAACTATCACTGCGTCTATTGTACGCCTCGTAGCAGCCTTTTCATGCTCTGGCAGAATAAAAGACAGCAGAGCAGGGAGGTGCTGAGGACTGTTTTTGTCTGTCATCGTGTTCCATTCTTAATCCCACAAGCCCCAGCGATGCCTGCTGGAGCAGCGTGTGGGGGAGGGAGCTGGTGCAAAGCACGCCTTCGTCGTTTTTCCTGCTGCTCTGAAAGTGGTGTGGGGGATGGGCTGTGAGGAAGCCTGTTTGATTCCTTAAATCCAGGACAACCAGTCAAGAACACGAGCAGCACAGTCTCCTTTGGCTGATTACTATGAAAGGCGATTTCAGGGAAGTCTTTGTCTTCATAAAGTATTTACAGCAAAAAGGTTTTGACAGAATCTGTTTACACCTCTGAATAAAGGAGAGAGGTCACTACTGCTTTGAAAAAGCTGCTGGGCAAAACTAATCCTTGAAAGCGCACTTACAAAAAAGGATGTGGTTATATGGCATCAACATTTTTTAAAAGAGCAGTTTGAAGATTAAACACTCAAGATATTGGATGTGCTGAAAATACATTAAAAGGGATTCTTCTCTGACATAACACTGCTCATACTAAGTCGCTCTTTGAAAGGGTTAAAAGAAAATGTCAAGAAAAAAAATAGACTGTTCAACAAAATCATTTATAATGAATGAATATGGTCTTAATCAGTAAGAGAACTAAATACTATGTTTAAAAAATAAAATGTATACGATCAAAAGTTATCTATTGGGTTTTCACATAACGGCAAGAAATTTTCCATGATGTCCATGTGCAATATATACAACATTTGTAAAAACAGAAAAGACTGTGAAAAACAAATTAAATCACAAGGTGCATACCCCAAAACATTTACCAAGATAATATAATGATAACACTCATATGGGTCTTTTTATTTCATTTTTGACCCAGCGGCTAAATAATGACACCACACGGGGACATTCCAGGGTCTCTGTAAAGTCAGAATATTTCTTGTACCATGTTTGGATCAATTATATATTTTGATGTGTTTGCATGTAAAAGTCTTTTTAGACCAGATACCGGACAACCTGCAGTGCCGTCTTTGACCGCAACTCAGAAGTTACCATCCATCTAGTTTTCCCGGGCTTTGGAGTAGTGATGAGTCGTAGCACTCAAGTACTAGTTGTTGACATAATTATTCAAGTAACGTTCCTGCACACGTGTTGTTTAAGGCTACTATAGTTCAACTTAGTGATATGTTACGCAGCAAAACAAGACGATGATAACATGCATCACAAAACATGTGGCTTTAACCTTGAATACGTTGGAATTAATGGCTCCATGCTTGAACACATGAGCTTAAAGCACAAGGAGAAACCAGCAGAGACTGACAAACAGGCAGTCTCACTTTCTATCATTTGCTATCGTGTTAGCACACATTGTTCTGATGGTACCAGAGTGGAGAAGATTAGCCTGCTAATAAAAGAAGAAGGATTCCACGAGCTGATGGTGCTTGTTGACCCAGTGTACATCCACCATCACGCAGAACGACAGCTTCTAGTGGAAAAGATGTACCATGAAAGAACAGCAGAGTGGGCGCTGATTTGCAGCTTGTCGACAGATTGGCTGTTACTACAGACTTGTGTGCAGCTTTCACCACCAATTCATGTTAATCATCCCACTTCACTCAGAACTGGGATTTATAGTCCGCTCTTACAGACACAAAGTATTGAAGAGCAGCACACTATAGACGAGCTTATACAAGTATTTGAAATTCCTGTGAATTCTGACCCGTACTTTGGAGAACCTGTTATAGAGGTAGATGACGATTGTTAAAATCAAAGCTAAGTAGCATGAATAGCATGTTCCACATGGATTAAAACTGTGTTCAGTCTAGCCCAATTGACAAACAGAATCACACCACTTTAATACCATCTTCATCTGCCAGGAACATCCCGTCCTGAACCACTCAATCTTCATGCCTTTGAATAAGCTCTTCATGTGACTGTTACTCATCACAGATGTGGAAGTAGAATCCCATTTCCTCATTGCACACGATCCACAGTATCCAGCGTTTTGTCCACAGGCTGGATTTTTTTGGCAGCCTGCACAAACTGTGAAATAGATACTAAGGCTGATGGGGGGGGGGGGAATGGCGAAAAACGATAAGTGGCTTGACTCAATAGTTCCTATCAGTGCCCTGTGGGAGGATTTGGGAATCCTTCTCATGGGACTCAACGTTTGGAAATCTATCTGTTAGTTCCTTTTGGCAGGTAAAAGATCTACTCCCATTCAAATATCACATGAAACATTTTGAGCCACTGTAGAGATAGAATTATTGTCATCAAAAACAATGAAAGACAGTTTAGCAGCGCTAGTCAGTGGCAAAAAAATAAACCAGAAATTGAAGATAGCGTTAATAACACAACATAAAAACAATATTTGTTTACAGGAGAGATGTGTACATTCAAAATAGTTGCATTAAATGATTAAAAAATGCAGTCTTATTAAAGATGTTGCAGAGTAGATTTTAAACATTTGCATGCTTCGATACAACCTTCCTCTTGATTTAAAAAGACTAGCCTCTCCCTGTCCAGTTCAATTTAAGCATTAATCAGTATGCGCCTCAGTAGCAATCTTGTTCTCAGAGGTATAAGTGTAATAGCATGGCTACATTGTCCTTGTCCTGAGTTAAAGTCCCCTAAAGCATTAGCTCTCAGATGCTGAATAAATCATCTCTACTTCCTCCGTACAAGTGCTAACCACCTCAGAGTGTGTCTCGCTCTCCCACCTCTCATTATACAAATCTAGAGGAGTAAGGCATTCGTCAGCTGCCTCAATGTGCCACTGGCCTTGATAAATGGAGCGGCTCTCATGGAAAATTACATTGGCAATCTAACTATGAAAAGGAGGGGGGGGGGGGGTGAAAAGGAAAGGCTGCACTTGAATGAAAGAGCTGAGGTTCTGCTCTGCATCGTTGCTGATGTCCAGCTCGGGGTGTGTAGAGATCTCAGCAGAGCTTCAGTTCTTTCTCTTCGTCTCTGCCTGACTCACTGTTTCTTTTGTGCCGCAGCTCATTCCTGTTAAGTAGTGCCAGGGCTTTTAAAGCAAAGGAACAGAAGAGAGACTGTGACTTATTTTAAGGAGTGGAGTGAATTACACTAAGGAGCTCAATACAAAGTGAGCTGTTAGCTCACCTGTCCATGTTCTAGTGGGGATAGCTCTGAGCAGATGAGAAGAGCTTTTGCTTTATTTACAGAATCCACAACAGGATTCAAAAGAAATGTTTACTCGCAAGGATCCATATTTCCTAAATGAGTTCTGATGTGTCTGTATGACTGTTCAAATGTAAGAAATCTAAGTATGATGCAAACATGTGTCTTGAGCAGTCAGACTAATTCCCCAAATTTGGACTCTTTGATGGATAGTGATTTAATTTATGGTTGAAAGGTTATCTCTTGGAAGTGGGTTCTATTTTTTTAATAAATTGTGGTCTGACTATCTTGAAGGTGCAATTACTTTTTTTTTTTTTTATGTTTTGAGTGTTTTGAATAAGGCTGGTAGATAAAGTCCCCTAAAGCATTAGCTCTCAGATGCTGAGAAAAGGCTGCAACATAATCCTTTGTGCACCCGATCAAACTACTTCCTGTAAAAGTGTTTGTTTATGCCAATGGAAGGCTGAAATTGTTAGTCCAAGGGACTGTTCAGACTGCCAGCCTAAATCAGTCTTTTGGCATATTCAGAGAGACAAGTTAAATGCAGATGGTAACATCTGTACCCCAAAGTAAGAGTAGGGCTCAGGTTAAAATACCAGGAGACTAGTCAGAACTGCTTTGCTAGAGAAAATTTATACGGATTTCAAAAAAGTGGCTAGCTAGATGGCAAGTGTATGCAAAGTCACATAACATGATAAAATGTGTTTGTTCAATGAAATGATCAATGAAAACCTCTAGAAATAA